TAATACCCACCCTTAGACGGCTTGTCACCCCAATTTGACTACGGTAATTTCTTCCCATGTTATCCTAGACTTCCCCTGGAATAGTCCCAACAACGCACAATGCACAATTTTATGGACAGTGTCCAGGGACACGGAACTATTAATATGTAAAGAAAAATCGGAGGTTGTAATGGTGTAAATAATTTAACTCCCTTTGTATTAATATGTAATTATGTAGTCAAAAATGATTTAAAAAGTCCAGATTTTAATTTTTTTCGCACCCTGCTTAGACGGCTTGTCACCCCAATTTGAAGATGTTTATTTCTTTCCACATCCATGCCACACTCACACTATTCGATCCCGGAATAGTTGAAATAACGCACATCATGGACAGTGTCCAGGAACGCTAAGCTATTGATATAGGGCCATATTCTCCGTAGTTCATAAAGCCTGGCTTAGTAGAAAAGCTCGGCTTTGTCACGCAAAAAGTCGAGCGTTTCCACTAAGCCAGGCTTTATGAACTACGAAGAATATTGCCCATAATCGTATTCACGATAGAGTTTGAATTTTGACCGTGATTTTCACGAGTTGAAAATAAATAAAATCCCCAGATCTGTCCCTTTTTCTCACAACTATTAAATAATGATACATGACATTTTGATTTGACATATAAAAATATCAGATTCGGGTCTTTGAATTTTAAATTTCGAATTTTTGTGTAAAATCGTTCAGTTTTTTGCCGTTTTCTGCATTATTTTTGTATTTGTTATTATCGCAATCGGTTTTTTGGTTTTTTATTTAGTGTTCTGTGCCTTTGTGTTTCGGTGTTGCGTTTCAAATTTGGTTTTAGTTTGGATTTAAATGTTTACTCTTTTTATAAGTGTTTACTTTGGACTCTAATTTTTGGATTTTTGGATTTTAATAACTTAACTTCCTTTAAAGAAATTGAAAATAAATTTTTATTCTGAAATGTATATCACTTTTCTAAATACGACCCTGTCGTTTATCCCAGCTGACGGAATCGAAGCACTAACGCATGCTGGCAACCTAAAGAAAAAGTTTTCTAGGAATGTCAACGCGAACTGTCAACTTCACTTTCTATCGTGATTACGACTATAACTAAAGTCTGTTTTTTTTTTAAAGATAATTCCCCAAGTCAAAAATTTAGTAACTATGTTGGCAACACAAGCCTTTTCTATATAAAAATATGAAAGCATTGACAATTTTACATTGTATTGCCAACATAATGTCATTTTGACTTTTATCTTTTAAAAAAAAACAGATTTTATAGATTTTTGTAACTCAAAGGGCCCCATACACTAGGTTCTTTCTCGTCGGTTTTCATCGCCGCGATGAAACACGTCGTTCCAAAACCGAAGTGTGTGGTAGAAAACCGTCGTGTTTTTCTACCACACACTTCGGTTTTGGAACGACGTGTTTCATCGCGGCGATGAAAACTGAAAATTGTATTTTCAATTTCAAAGTAGATTGAATTTTACCATCATTGCTTATTTCATTATTCTTATTTATTGAAATAAAGCTTGTTTTGTTGAAAAAAGTTGGTATTTTTTGGACTAAGCAATAGAAATACAAAAAGTTTTGAAAAAAATGACGAAGTTTTGTTTATTTTTGAAACTTTCAGGCCCGCGGGCATAAAAGGCGCCCTATGGCGTAAAAGTACTACTTCACGCTTTAAAATGCTGGCGTAAAAGTGCACTTTTACGCCCGTTCGTGCATAAAACTATTTTATGGCTCTGGCCTGGTAAGTCAAAGTAGGCGTCGCCGCAATTCGGTATAGTTTTATGGCTGAGATTTGATGGATAACATCAACCCAACCATTTTTATAATGTTAATGCCTGTGTGGTGGCATTATAGGTAATGTCTGCCCAGCGACTCTGTGTCTACGGGGCAACGGTAAGGGGAAGGCAGTTGTAAAAAAAAATGGCTGATTTCATTCATAAAATACCCAGCTGCGTGCGGAATTTTTTGGAAGTGTTATCGTATTGCAACCAGTGATGTGCCTGTAGACAATGTCAACGTAAACAATTGATTGTCTACGCGTAGACAATTCGAATTGTCTACATGAGCATTTGTCTACACATTGTCTACATGCGGCGTAAACAATAACTTATTTTAAAAAAATCGAAAAAAAATATTAAAAGTTACTATACTATCACTATTACTTCGATATTAGCATTCACTGCTTATAAAGTATCAGAAAAACCAATAATAAAATAAAAATAATTAAAAAAAAGGAAAGTGTGAGGTTAGAATTAAACGTCATTTATATTATTTTACATTATTGACACGTTGTCTACATTGTCTACATTGTCTACATTATCTACACGTAAAGTAGACAATGAAAGTCTATGTGTAGACGCACATCCCTAATTGCAACTCCTACACGAAAATCGAAAATGACCAAACCCCCGCCACTGGATATTTCAATATAAATCGATATTCCAAGATGGGAGGATACAATGACGGAAGCCCTGGCCAATAGCGAGATGTAAGGTGACGTTAGCCCATTGACAACGACATGGTTCCCCGTGGCAACGGCCATCCTGCCAAAAACTCCACCAATCAGGTTCATCCAGGCCGGATGCTTGCCAAATTGTCAAAAACTGATGGTATCTTTAGAAAATGTTTATTTTTTACAATGGACAAAATTGAAGAAATTAGTTATTAGAATAAGAATAGATCTAACAACCACGTTGAAATATTTACAAGAGCTTGGTGGGAGCCCCAAAACAATTCTAAAAGGTTAAGGCAAGGAGTGCTGCGTTGCCAAATTGACGCCAAAGTATATTATTTTGTTTGGGTTAGTTTTTTCTAACAGGTGCGGAGTGCGGTCAATGTTTATTGTTTAACGAATGACGAAAACAGCAGTTTTTAAAATATGTAAGTAATGTTTCCAAGTTACAGAAAATGATTTTTGACGAGAATTGTTTATTTTTCAATGGTCAGAAAAAAACTTTTTGCAGATGCTTGTTTGTTTGTGCGATGTAAGATTTAGATTTTATTGGAATTTTCGACATTTTTATACAACAATCGTAAACAGGATTGCTCATCCTAATATCCTAATGAGGTCTACGATCACCAATTCTTGAGCAGGCAGGGTCTGCGAGTAACATCGCCACAGCTGCTTATAGTGATGATGTCACCCGCAGTAGACCTCGATGGAAGGCTTGCGATTCAGGCTGTGCTCGTTATTTGCTTTTTTCGTCGATTTTAAATGTAGAAAAGGTGATTTTAACAAGATTTTAACGTTTAGGAATTCATTTTTTTATGTGCATTGAACTCGAATAATGCATTTTACTCCAAGAGTTGAGGTATGCAACTGACATAGCAGTTGGCAGACACTTTTAGCTCAATAAGCAGTCCTACTAGGGATTGAAAACAGGATAATCTCTGCCATTTTCTGGACACCTGAAACTAAGATGATCCGTTTTTTTTTCCTACGAATGTGCGGAAAAAAAACTTTTGGCATGCACAAAGAGTAATCTTTCCGCACACCCTTCAGAAAAATTGTGTTCCTTAAGCCTAGTACTCATAACCGCGAAATTCGCTTTTTCACATTGCTTCGACAATTTGACGTTTGATTCACGCATAGAACTTCAAATTGTCGAAGGAATGTCAGAAAAGAGCGAATTTCGCTGTTATGAGTACTAGGCTTAACACTTGCGAGAAATGGTATTTCCCGCACTTGTTAGAAAAATAACTATTTTTTTCCGAATTTGATATAAATTTTTTTTTTCGCCCTGTAGGAGAACAAACGAGTTTCCAGTTCCACTTCAACCAAAAGGCAGTGCTTCAAAATACAAAATTTGTAGTTTTAATTTTATTCAATTTTCAATTTATTTAATCATAAGCAGTATAATCAAATTATGAAAGGTTATTATATTCTGTATCCACTCAAAACTCAAAAGGCCGGCATAATAATAATAAACAACTGTGGTGGCGTGGCGTGGCGCTGATTCCCAGTCCAAACATGAAAATGCCAAAAATTGCAACGTCGCATATAAATTGTTTCGGGGCTATCACCAAGCTCTTGTGAAATATTTAGCGTTTTATTGGTATCTATATTTTGTTATTAAAAAATGGATTTTCAAATGAACTATACTTCATGCCTGGTATTTTCTCTTTTTAATAATTAAACGTGACAACATGGCACATTTACGTCCGAATTCCTTCCGTAGACTCAGATCCGCTGGGCAAACAATACATTTGGAGTTTTTCCTATTGGAATTTGGAACACTGAATGAATTTAAATGGTGAATTTTAAAGAGATTTTTTTTGCACAGTAACTGTAAAATGTTCCACTAATCACTAGCAAGTAACTTTTAGAAAAAAATGAGTTAAATTTGTTTTCAATTGATATTCTTTCAACAGCTTGATAAAGTGGAGAACCGGATCGGATCGGATCTTTATTTGAGATAGTTAGGTTCTAAATGTCGCCCGAGGCTGAGGTGAATCAATATAATTTGATTTTGAAAACTAATTATGGATCTTTGAGAAATTGGTATATTTAGGATTGGGCTTTCGATAGATGTATGCACAGTTTCTAAACAAGACGGTTTTTGCTTGTCCTGATCGACAGTGCGGATATTTTTGATGGGGTTTCTATGAGTGTAATTACTAATTATGTAATATCAAGTACCAAGCTTGTTATCCATGTTATTTCTAAATTCGTAATTCCTACTCTTTGAAATTGGTCTGATAAAATGTCAAATTTAGGAGGATTTTGTTGTTTTTGCGTTCCTAGGATTTCTTGGTTTTCTTCAATTTCTGTTCCACTTATCACTTTTTTTTTTAAATTTGTTGCCCTCGTAGGTATTTCAACCGGATATGCCTTACCTGGATTGCCTTTGCCTGGGTGCCAAATATACATACCTATACCGATATACGGAATGCTTAGATGCGCCCGGGAGCCCCCAATCAACGCCCGACCCGAAATCCCCACTCAACTCCCAAGCTTCTTGGCCCTTTTGTGATCTAGCGTCTTGCCGCCACTACTTTCTACTACTTGTCAGTCAGTTGCCGAGTGGTCAGTGTTCCTGAATAGTGAATCGTGAATCTTGCATTTTCATTTCGCACTTTTCGCGGTGCTTTGCTAATTGCTTTGCTTAATAATTGCGTACTAAGTACTAATACAGATACAGAAATAGAAGTGAAACGTGCTCTCTTTGTAATATGTTTGCATATTATGATTTTCTATTGCTGTTATTCAATTTTTAACGTATATTTTAATAGTATTGTGTACAAAATTCGAAATGTAAGTACCTAAAGTTTGTTTCGCCGTTTCGCCAGGGTTTGTACTTGCCACCAGCATTTGCCTTCCTTGTTTAACAAATAAAAATTCAGTGAAACAAATCAATGACGTCAAAAATGTTCGTCGGTTCTTAAACCAGAAGTCATTCATTTTAATTTGTCAAAAAATTGAATGTGTCATATGAATTAATCTACGACAACCCTTTTTTTCCAAGTTTCAAGGTCAAGTATGAACCCTGGTGGAACGGACCTTATATATGTATGTAGCACATGTAGGTAGGTAATATAGGTATATAGTATCCCCAATTGGCTAAAGATCGTTAAGGGTGTCGATGCAACACTCTGGACGACGGTTGTTGGTGTAGGTATCTTTTTTATTTTGTAAACTTCTAGAACAGATCATACACTGTCACACACGGCCGAAAAGGGTTCAGGCAGGTCTGTACATGAACATGACGTGTCAGACAGAGCTTGTCTTTTGTTTACCGGACCTGCTGCATCGACCTTTCATTTTTCAACAAGTGGTATTGGGGGTTGGTAACTGCAACTGCATATTTTTGTGAATTGTGGCTGAAGTAGGGTTGCCAGATTTACGAGAGGAGAAAGCGTGGCAAAGATGACGACGCCGGCTAGGGGGGGAGGGGGGTAAGCGAATTTCGAGTTCTACGCGCAAATTTTAGGCTTTTTCCTGCTGTGTTGGAACAAAGCTATTAAAAAGTCAAAAGTTAGAAATGGGCCGATTTCTATGCACGCAAGTTTAGATAAACATGTTCCCAGACGTAAACAATAAACAACTAAAGGCTGGTTCATGCATATATTCTTTTTCTGTTTCTTTAACTTTTTCCTTCCGTAAAATTTAAGGTATTTCATGCACCAAAGTTAAGAGTTTTCATCAGTCTTTAATAACGACATTGTTGACGTATATGGGAAACTACGAACGGTTTCAATAAGATTTTCTTGGTCAATTGAGATCATTGTTTGGTCTTATCAGGCTTTTATAAATATTATTTTCAATTCCAGACACGTATTTCAAGTTCAAGACGTATTTGTTGTTTACTTTTAACGAATTAATTGTCGAAGCAATGTCAAAAAACAGCGAATTTCGCTGTTATGAGTACTAGGCTTTATCAATACTGACATCGTTGACATGTAACAACCCGTATTGCGTATTCTAACCTCATAAAAATCTCAAAATGCCCGCTGGTTGGCAAAAGTCAGGTGGTTTGGATACCCTAATAGAGCAATCCAAACAAAATGGCGGTCAATGCATGGTCAATGCCAAAAAATTGGCGCCATAAATTTAATTCAAAGAACCGTGACATTTTTCATCAAAAAACTGTTTTTTGTGTATTTTGTGGTGTTTTTAGATAATTTTCTAGTGTTTGGGAGGATAATTTTTGTATTTTAAGATGGAAAGTTTTTAGTTTAAGAAATTATTAGTGGAAAACCCGGATGTTCGCAAAAGTTATGATTTCTGTGTGACAAACCTTTACCTGCTAAACAATTAGGTAGGTACTATCCAGGATTTGTTTCCTGTTTAGTTTTTTCTTAACCAAATCCTGAATCCTGATGTTTATTTTATTTGTCTGCTATTCAAGGTATCGACACAAGTAAAGTTGATGTGGAGGATCAGAATAGTAAATGGCTTGGATCCATACACCATTTATGTAGAGAGACTTTTTGGTTTTTTAATATGGATTTCGTAAGATTTTTTCTCTTTTGCTACAATCCATGAAGCCCTCACAAAGTACAGACAAATCATTTTTCTCCGTTAAAAACCTGTGTTTTGTCTCTGCAGGAACGGCATGAAACCAGACTTTCTCGCGATTAGAACAGCTCCCACAACTAAGTACAATACATAAAGTATGCATTTTCCTAAAAATCAACACTTTACAGACTTTATACAAATCAAAAATCGCTTTAAAACGGCATTTTTTTTAAATAAAAAGGCATTGGCCTCCATTTTGAATTTCTTTTTGACAAGTCATTGGATTGCCCTATTCTTGTTTTTAAGGTTAAGTTGAAAAATTTGGATGTTTTCATCTACTGCGCAGGCGACGTCGATTTTATCCGTTACTTTATCCGTAAAGATCAAAGTTAACTATCTTCAATAGAGAATAAAGAAAATGATACGGAAAAGTAATGTGCATGAACACCTGCATATAAATACATGCAACTTATACATTACTTACGTCTATAGATAGCGACTATACCTTTTCAACTTCAAATTGGGACTAAACAACTTCAAGTTGGGAACTAACAAAATCAAATTGAGAATTAACAATATCAAATTGGGAATAATCATATTTAATTTGGTACTAATCAACTTCAAATTGCGACTAATCAATTTTGATTTGGGAAGAAACAAATTCAAATTGGGAATAGACTTCAATTTAGAAATTATATTTGAGACTTTGACTTTGTATTTCCTTCCGATTACATTCAAGTCCCTTAGAGAATCATGAACTATTTCTTCGAATTTGAGAAAAATGAGATTTTGTTCAAATTTTTCTTTTTTATTTCAGCGTAATTTCAGGATTTTCCTCTATGTATCCAGTCATTTATAACTTATGTTCTTCTAAAATGTTTGCTTTTCTTTGTTCCCCACATCCTTCGAACAACTTCTTGGGTACCTACCCATCGATACGCGTAGATTTTTTTATACCCAGTGTGTTAGCCAATCCTCGTCAGTCGCCTTCGATATTAAAAACAGCACATATTTGCTTTTCAGCATTTTCTGCATAAAGTGCTTTAATGTAAGGCATTTTGTTAATTTAATATACGGTTTAAACGCGTAAATGCCGTTTGACTTGCAAAACTTTAAAATTTAACCAACAATTCCAATTTGAAGTTGATTAGTACCAAATTTAAATTGTTTATTTCCAATTTGATATTGTTTATTCCCAAAATATTTTCATACATGAACCAGCCTTAATTTCCTAGAATCCTGGTCTGGTCGTCGATGCATTTTCGTAACAATATGCATAAATAAATAAAGTCATAGAGAAACTCGATTTTTCTCACTTGAACTGTATGCTGTCATTCTTTCCACTTTTCCAAGGAGCAAAGAAATGCCTTATATAAATGTTTCTATTTTTATAGATTCCAAAATGTCCTTACTACCACCCGAAGCCCTAGAAAAGCTCACCTGTTCCAATTGCCTTCAATACCCATCGGCACTTCCAGTAAAAGTGTACCCTAATAAATCTGTCAAGTGTGGAAGATGTTGCAGAGATGGAGATGGTGGTACGGTGTCTGTACTCTATGAGCTTTTGGCCAGAAAATGCAAGTTTCCTTGTATCAACAGGTTTGAGGGATGTAGGGAACAACTGAGTATTGATGAAGCACTGGAACATGAGCAAAACTTCTGTTCGGCTATGGGTACTAAGTGTCCATTTTGTTCCACGAATTTGGGTGAGTTATTTGTATAAATAAAGTAGGAGACTTTGCAAATAAGTACTTACAAAACAAACAGTTTAAAACTTACGAGTCAAAAAAAGAATAGGAGACTATCCGTAAGGACATCCACAACACAGAAGAACGTGCCTGGACTATCACATTTAAAATTACTATAATTCACAGTTAATTTAAAAAACAAAATTAAAAACAATATTTGCAAAGTACATTAATGAATTTGGGTATGTAGATATTATGTTCAGAGACTTCACACTAACAAAATGAAATGAGGGTTCCCATTGATATTGAACAAGCTGGACGATTTTATTTATTTTTTATTTTTTATAATTTAATATTTAGATTCAGGTATGGGTGTACCTAGGAGATTAAAATCTATCCTCAACAATAAAGAAGCAATCCATCATACAGGTGCGCTTACACCTACAAGGGTTAAGATAACTGCTACTTCAATTCAATATAGTAATGGAAGAATTAGGTCATGGTTATAGGGAAGCTATTCTAAAACAATTGATTTATTGAACAAAATAAATCAAGTTCACCCTAATATAAGATTTACTGTTGAAATAGAAGAGAACAATTGCCTGAATTTTTTGGATTTCACTGATTTGACGATTCATAGGGAGGTCTCAGAATTGTCCTTTAGCACCTATAGAAAACCTACTCAAACCCACCATTCTATTCACGCTCTCTCCCACCACCCTTTCCAGCATAAAATGCTTACTTACTCAATATACCCCTCTCCAATTCTAATTATTAGACAGAAGTTAATACAATTAAACAGATATCTTTCAATAATGGTTATGACCCTAATTTAATTGACAAAAAATACACAAAATCAAATTTGAAATCCTTAAAAAATCCGTCTATCCTACCCTTGATACGTGAGTCTTCCTTATTTGACAAAAAATTTTTCACATCTGCTAAAACAACATATTCCCAATATTCAAATACTTCAAAAAAGTGGTGTATACAGGGTGAGTTACTAAGCGCGCGGTGGTCCATGGTCCATATCTCCTATACTAACGGAGATCGAAGAAAAAACTAAATACAAAACTTGTAGATAAACATGAGTACTACATTCCTAAATTATTTTCCAGTATACAGGGTGGCCCAATTACTAGTAGTAACACAAAGTTATATTTTTTTAAATGACTCCCCTTGTATATTATGATATTTCTGGATTCTCCGGAAAATTCTAGACACATTTCATATACAATGTCATATACTTATCTTCAACTGTTCCGGAAATATTGACAGTTCAAAATTGACTTTTTTGCATCTTTGACAGACTGTAAAACCTGAACGGTTAATTTTACAAGAAAACGGATTTTAC